GACAGACAGGCAGAGGCAGCAGTGCATATCTCCCTGCAGCAGGAGACTGGGCAGGACTGCTGACAGCTTATCTGGGGGGTAGTGTCTTCCTACAACTGGCTTCCCCATTTTTCCAAGTTGGGGGTTTATCTAGTGTTTCCTTTTTTTTTTTTTTTTTGTCCCATTATGTTTATTTTAAAATATGCTTAGTTACACATTTTAGGTACAAGCAAGAAAACATTTCCTATCCTCTAGTGCTTAGACTGTCATTAGAGATTGGGAACAATGAGACAGCTGAAAATAAGAGAGAAAAAGCCTGAGGGGGGTAAATAAAATCAAAATGGAAATCAGAGAAAAAGAAGCTGGAACAGGCACCAGAAAAATACAAACAGATTTAGAGATAGAAAATGTCTACATCTCAGTAGAGTTGAGTTCTCTGAAAGAAAATGGGGCCCTGAATAAAGGGAGAAGTTTATATATCAGCCAGCAAGGCTGGATGAGGGAGTGTTCAAACCAGGGGCAATATAGCATGTGAGCATCTCTTCAGATGTCTGTTCCTAAAATGGTCATTTGTTTTTAGACTGTCATTGATCCAAAGATGATGCCATTGGTTTCCCTGACTACCATCACTTCAAGCTCTGTTTCAGTCTGCATGTATCAATGTCCCGTTTCTGTCATAGGGCATAATGAAATTTTATATTATTATTAGGTATTAAGATTTAGCATTTACATAGAATTTTCATGCACTAAATGTTTTACAGATATTCTTCAATTAATCATCTCAGCACCTACACTGACTGTATGAAATAGTAGCTGTTTTGCGGCTGGGGAAACTCAGCTCATTGGATTGCTGGAGGCAATGCAGAAAGCGCTTTTGCCAGTAGCAGCACTTGGTAGTCAGGCTGTTTGCTTTATATTTATATTCGACTCATCTTCCTGATTATTGTGTACTGGACCTCTTTGCATTGATTTGATGCTGTACTGATGAAAGCCATTGATATTAAGGGTCAGGTCTGCAGTGCCTCTCTATTCTTTGTCGGGGAATGAGGAATACAAAGTGGCAGCTATTTAGATGGTAAGAGTCCCTGGGTTACTCGAATGCCTAGCACGAGACCTAATTTCCCTGACAAATATCTGCTGCTGATAAAGGAACTGATGACTTCATAATTGACAGCTTAATCAACCGTGGTCTCTTTAAATATGTATAGAATTTCCAGAAACACATATATATTAGTGTTCTAGTGTTATTTGTCATTTGGATATTTTGTCATTGGTTATTTTGAGATATATGCCCACAAAGTAATTTTTTTTTTAAAAAAAGAGACTGCTATTCAGATTAAAAGAACAGATTTTATGGGAGTCTTAGCATTCTTTGACCCTGGTGTCAGGCAAATACTTGGTTCCATCAGGTGTCATAATTCTTCCCTCGTACTTGCCGGCCTCTTTTATTAATGTAGGTAAGCCAACACAGTTCACAAAAGTCCAAATATATTTAAAACTTTTTTTTTTCTAGACAGGGAAAAAAGCTAAACCCATGAACTTAGGAAACGCAGAGTCAGGAAAACAGAAATTAGTGGCAAAGCCTTTGTCAGTACTGCTCACTCTTAGGTTGCATATAATTACAGAAATTTCACTGCAGGTTCTAATGTATTTTATAATTTGAATTTGTGTATGTGCTCACACATTCATTTTATCTAGTGAAGTTATTTTTCAAGATCTTTGCAGTAATGTTTAGTTTGTCTCACGGGAATGTGGCAATGATATTGGACAAGTCTAAATTCAACATTTGTGGTTTCTGTTGAATTTCTAAAACATTTATTATATCACAAATCTAATCAAAATATTTTGAGATTCCAGACATTCTGTAAAGATGTTATTGCAGGTGTTGATAAAACATAGTATTTTCCCTACTTCTTTAACCAAATAAAGAATTTCTTAATGCTTAACTTTCGCTATGTAGCATCACCTGGTAACGTTGCCTACATAATTAGGATGCAATTGGGGAATTTTTACTTAGTTATTAAACTAGCTACAGCAAGGACTTGAGCAATCATGCTGGCTACTTACACTTCACAATAAAAAGACTTCTATCTATAAGAATACAGTTGATAAGTAACTTCTTGCTAGGGAAGCTGAATCTTGCTTCATTTGATAAAGAAGTAATGTCATTGGAAACATGAAGTTACGAAGAGTCTGATAATACAAGGTAGAGGGCAATTTACCAACTTTCTAGGCAAAATAATTACCAAAACAAAAAAAAACCTGTTTAAAGGTAACTGCAGGAACAGGGAATTTCACTCTAAATGGAATTAGTGCAACTATTACTTTGGCTGAAACAAAACTGAAATCCTAAGAAAGGCTAGATCTCCTAATAAAAAGATATGTTCAGTATTTGCCTTTTAGAAACCCTGGGTGGTTGAAGGGGGCAGCACAAATTTCAAGAAACTGCAGAATTATTGATGCAAATTTATTCAGGGAAAATGAGTATCTCGGGGTGAGAACCAGTTTATTGTCCAAGACTAAGCCAAAGATAATATTGTGTTTTCAAAAAGCAGTTTAAGAACTTGATACTGATACCTGTATGTCAGGTATTGAATTTGGATATTCAAGAAGCCATTATATTAGGAAATTCCTCAACAGAACATGTCTTTACCTGCTTCTTCCCATCTGCCACAGCATGAAGATGCCCTGTATCAGATGTTAACCTTCAACAATCCCACAAAGAAGAAAATGCAACGTAGAAGCAGCACTGCATGCAAGACTCGGGTAGTTGATGTAGACTGGTATGATATAATGATGGTATTTATAAAGCATGCTTAAAGCAGAGGGAATTGTCAGAAGACACCACCTGTGAAATAATTACAAAAAGACAAACCCAGCCTTCGGACCAAAGTTAGAGATCTACAGGGAGTCAGGACTGCCTGTATGGATGACTGAATAAAATAAAACATCAGTACTGTTATTCTGAGGGGAAGTCTGTGGCCCAGCATGCAACACCAGTTCTGCACCCAGCGCAGCACAGGAGAAAAAGCAGGCTAGTGTGTCTGTCTTCAGGGATGGATGCTACTGCTCTGAAATGCTCCCAAAAGTTTTGCTCCGCGCCAGTCTCTAAGCCTTGTAGGCTGAGGTAATCTCACCGTCTGACTTCTTTCAACCTTCCCAATACTCAAGACAGTGAATTTGGCCAACTCACGAGACAGCTTCAAACCATAAAGTTCTACTGGTGAGGCAATACACAAGAAATAGAGGAAAGTCCACATCGCTACAATGCGTCTTGTAGTGGAGAATGAAGCAGCTACAGTAGAATGGAGATTGTGAGAAATGGGAATTGTTGCATCTACTGAGAGTACCTGGAAGCACAGATGAAAAGCCCTGAACAGAAGAAGCCAACAAAATACAGAAGTAAGGGGAAAAAAAGCCTCTTGCAAAATGAAAAGAACAAGCAATCTACAAATATTATGGGGGGGTGAGTGAAGTAGAAAAGTGTTCCGGTTTCCAAGAGGAAGCATGGCTGGTGACGGGTAGGATATACCAAACAGACCACACTGTTTCTCCTCTGCCATTTCAAAACATTATTATAACAAATTGGAGAATAAATTTTAATAACTGTTCTAATTTTAGATTTTTTTTCCATGTGACTATAAATTTTTGCAGCTATCATCTTAAATGTCTACTTTACATCTAACCTTATGTGGGCATTGTGAAAGTTACATTTCTACTTCATATTTTCTGTTTTGGAAATTTTGATGCAGATCTGATTTGACTGTATGAAAAACATTAAATGGCCAAAGGATGATACTTTGTCATTTTCCATTCACCCTCCGGTTACTTGCAAACACTGAAGGAAGCCCTCCTGCTGGCCAATAACTATCATTTTATTGGCCATATTTTCAATCAAAATACAGTTATTAATTAATTCTTGACAAGCTGGCTGTAGTATTAGTTTTAGGAATATGCTGTCATCTAATTGAGTATTATTTATTGACTCAACATCATGCCCGGTGCTTTGAAATTTGGATTAAAAACCCACAGCTATTAATTGGTGCACAAATATATCTTTATTTCTTAACAGTAATATAATATGGAAAAGAAAAACACTAGAATGTTTCCTCTGCTGCCCACTGACCATTACTTAAAACCTATCCTTACAGCAAATGGGATGCAGCGCTCCTCAAGAAAACCAGGTCTCTTTGGGAATTTCAGCCAACTTCAACAATGTTGAAGTTTCCCCTACACTGCTGGTGTTAGAAAATATCTAGCAGCCTTACGTCTTGCTTTTCATTCACGATTAAAGGCAAGCACAGATGACACTTCTTATTAGTCTTCCTCTCTTACTGAAACCAGAATCTTTAAAAACTATCATATTCCAGAGATACGAAAAGCAGGCCACTCAAGGACTTCTCACTGACTTATGCATACAGAGTGTATGTTACAAATAGATGTTTTGTGACATAAAATGATTTATTTCATTTAAAAAAAAAAAAAACACAACAGGAATTTCAGTCTTTTTTCATTGCATGTATTTGAACCCCCCATTTTCTCAATCTGATCCACGAAGTCAGAACAGCTGCGTACAGGGAATTTGTTCTTAATTTGTTGACTTTTCAAGCATATGAACACCCACTAGCAGTTGTTTCTAAGAAAAATCACTTTGTCAGACTCTAGCAAAATATGAAGGCTTTAGGATTGTGCTACAAGGAGATTACAATAATGCAATGATTTGGGAACAGGTACAAGGCTTTATAAGGAAGACGTGTTCTATGGAAGACACTTCAGCATCCTTCAGTTCTGCCAACTGAAAATGAGGCTGCATGTAAAGCCTGTCTGGGAAAATGTGTTATTTTAGGTCACCAAACTTAGATGAAGTCCTTTTGCAAAAACTATATTCTGAAAAGTCTCCTTATTTATTTTATAGTACGTACATTTACACAGCCTGACTTATTTTAAGTGAGATTCAATCAATCAGCATCCTTTTAAAGGATGTAACCAAAAGTGGCAAATAAAGTGCTTGTTTGCTTCATCTATGTATTCTGCACTCTTATGTTCCTCATGTCTTTCAGCAGCATAGGTCTGTAGATTGCCTCCAAGCTTTCCATGTATTCTAAATAATCACTCACTCGAAATCCATGGAGTGCTTCTTCCTGCACAAATACATACAGAAAACATTTATTAGCTAGAGAAAAAAATACGCATGACTCAAATTTGAAGAATTCTAGCTGTTAAATATAGCTCACTTTGTTCTGCTTGTCACAGCCTGGATGTTTAATACACACATTTTCTTTCATTTTGTTTAGAAATAAAGAACTGGTAATATCTGCTTCCAGACAGTTGTTCCTAATTACAGCCTTGGTAACAAATAATTTCTTCAGGTGGACATTGTTCATCTCATTTTTGGAGAACATGCCATATGAAGATTTTTAAGAACAAAGTAAGCTCTAAAAAGGCAAATCCAAGTACTAAAATATTCTTTTAAAAGATTTTTATACCAGCTACACTGCATGCTAAAAGTTTGTTTGTGTGGCTTTTGTATCCAACTAGATTTTCAATAAAACCAGGAGAGTAACAGCAGATACTTATTTTTAAAATCAGTGATAAAGAAAGATTGCTACGAAGAGCTTAAATAAAACCAGAATAAACAGTTCTGCATCACCACAAATGATTAATTCTTACTAATTCCAAAACACAGAGTAAAAGAAGACACCCTCAGGAAAAAGAAACGAACAGGCCATGTTCCTTCTTGTGGCTACTATATTAGAGGGAGAGGGAGGATGCACTGCAGAAAGCAGGATCCTGAAGAAGAGTCTAGGTAAAATGGGAGAATTTGTTGCTGCTTTGAACTGGAGCAACTTGTGAACCCACCACCTACTAAGCAGTATTACTGCTGCTGGCAGCACGTGCTGCAAAAAGCTCTTCAGAGCCACAGTCCTTGCGGACATACGTTGTATCTGCTGGTGTACTGACTGTGCATCTCTGCTAAGTAGACTTCCCCTGAGAACACCTGCTCATGCTTGGAACGCTGCACTTTGGCATCTGAACAGAAATTCAAGATGGTCCTTATATTTCTACTCCCCTACTCAAAGGTGAAAGCAAAAGCACAATTTTACCTTCCAGGTTGCTCTTCGTGCACTGTGAGAAGGTTGACTACAGTGGAAAAGAAAACTGACTCCAATGGAGAACTGTAGTAGGTATTTAACTCTTTCTCTTTTTTTTGTAAGCAGTCAAATCCTATATTGATTAAACGTGCGCACATATTAAAGCACTGGTCAGCCACTTAGTTGTCAATATTATGGCTCATACTCACAGGAAATAAAGTGAAGAGTAGCTAAATTACTCCCAGAAGAGACTGACATACTGGCCTATGTGTGCTATTACAAGAAGTCAGAAACTCTGTAACCCCACTTTCTCTATTGTATCCAAGTGAAGCCAAGAGAGTTTACTGAAGTGGCAGGTTATGGTATTCTTGGGTCATACATGGAAACTACGAAGCTATGCAACTTCATCCTTCCATGAAAGGATTAATAAAACACAAAGCAATAAATTTAAAGTTCTGTTAATGCTGAAACTTCAAGATATCTTGAAGGGATCGTAACTGTTAGTAACCTATCTCAGACAACAGAAAGAACCAGAAAAAAAGGAAAAAATGTTCATAGACAATTTGTTACTTCTACTTTCTTCTTGGCACAGAGGAAAGGCAAATTACAGAGTAATAGAAGACGGTCTATTTCAAAGGTTGCTATCTGTTTTTTATCACTTGAAGGACACATTGAAAGGCCGAATGTTTTACTTATTTTAAGTGCTAGACATAATGTAATCTGAATCGACAGCAAAGTTGTCTCCAATGTCTTTTTTCGTGTGCAAATGGAAGTATATCTATATTTTAAGAAGATTTTTTTTTTGTTAAATTTTAATAGCTAGCTGGAACTACTTATTAGAAAATACCAACAAAGGTATATTGCTGTCAAATCACAATCTTTTCATGACAGATATAATGCATGTTAGAAGCTTAAAACCAGAAAGTACTATCGGTTTGTGGAAGGAAAATAGGTAGCAGGACTTGTTTGTACAGTAAAAGACCAGTGCTAGTATGAAGTTGAAGATGTGATATAACATTAAAAATATATAAATGAATATTCAAAGGCTGTAGGTGCACTGGGTTTTTTTCTTAACCTGGATTATGTTCTCAGAACAGTTTATACTTCTACCTTTAAGAGAATTGCTCCACTACAGTAATCCAAATTTGTGAATGTTGTGCTGAGAAACAGGCTAAAACTTGAAACTGAATCTCTTTATTTCACTAAAAGGGAAACTAACGCCTTCACAAGTATTAAACTGAAGTAACCTCATATGAAGCCCATAATATAGCTGAAATTGAATGAATACAATGACAGAATATGATTTTCTTTAGATGAATTAAGAGCTATCAAAAGCAAGCGTACACTTTAAGCATGACCTTAACTCCTCTTTTTCTGCAGTAGTCACTCAATGAATTGTAAATACTCCGGTAGTGCATTAATATACAGTATTTCTCATTAATTTAAAAGTACCATGTCAAATCTTTGGCCTGTTTACACTGTAGGTGACGACATACAAATTCTCTCTTCTACAATTAACATAAACTATCCCAATAATGCCATTAAGATGAAGTAGTTTTTAAGCCACATTGACCAAACCCAGGTCAAACAAAACAAGTCACTCATTAAACTGTGTACTGAACATTTTCAAGGAAAACAATTAAGCTGACATATTATTCATATTTAAGAGTATGTAAGTTGGGTGCAAACTAGTCAGAAAGTCAGGACAGACGAAGATGCAGATATATAGCTCTCAAAACAACTTTGGTTGGAGAAAAACAAAAAAGACCGGAGAGAAAAGCAAAAACGTCTCAGGGAAGAAGAGTGAAATATTTGTATCTGCTCATGACTGCATCTATAGCCAAGCACCACCCTGCAAAAAGAATCCAATAACCAAACATAATTTATAACATGGCAAAGAACAGGAAATCGTGAACCTGGTTGTATAGTAATTGGCACCTGTTCAAAATAACAGCTCACTGAGCTTTGTGCCACATCTCTTCTCCTGCTTTAGCAGGAGACCACTCTGTAAACCCACCTTTCTGGAGAACATCTAGTTTAATGAGATTGGGGCTACACAGAGAACTGAATCAAATGCTCTCATGACTTAACATCGCATACAAAGGGAACCAATCAGGACAAAATGCAGGAAAACTGTTCTCTGGAAAACACTATACCACAATTTCCTGCCAGGAAGTAAATAAAATCAAAGTATTATTTCACTCACTTAAAATCAGTAAGTGTAATTCACTAAGAGCTTCAGATTAAGTAACACATTTTAAGTACTGAGAGCTTTGCTTCCCTTCAGCAATTGAAAAATTAAAAAAGAAACCCTTACTTTAAGAAAAACCTGGAGATCTTGGGCTTCGGTGTGCTTCAGGATGTCTTGCTGTAAGTGTCTGAACACAGAAATACACATATATATTTGATAATCGGGACCCAGAAAGATACATATAGCAATGTAGTGGCAGATCTCACTCCAGTCCATGTAATTCCAGAAACACTGAGTTATCCATTGCAGACAAATCTAGATAAGAATGAAAGTATATACAACTAAATTGCTGTAGACATGTAGTCATAATTGATCAGCTTTATCTCTTAAGTTTTCTATATTACAGACCCTTTTTCCTGTAACATCACGCTACTTATGAAAATAAAAGGAATAAAGTAAAAAAGAAGCCAAGAATCACCATTTTTTAAATCACAGCCTCTGAAGAGACTTCCAGTAAATTCTGCTAGACATAATACTCTGCATCTGTGCATCTCACTTGTCTGAGTACATTCTGGCAACTTTTGAAGTTGAGACATAAAACTCAAAGTCCAATGAAAGCAAAGGTGATTTTTTCAAGATTGTTTTAAAACATGGCCTTGACAGTAATGAAGGTGATGAAGGTGTGTTTAATGTGGATTTTCCTTTAAATTAACGTAGTTCTTTGCCTTATGAATGAATGCTAGGCCCTTCCCTGAGACATGTTTTCATTTAATGAAGTGAGTATAGAACACAATTAGTGACTCCTTTTTCCAGTTCTAAATCACAATGTATTAGGATGCGTACAGCACATTTCATTTAGTTCTAGACCACAAATCTTCTGCTAATCAGTCCTTAAAGTGTTTAAAAATATGCAGCAGCAGAAGTACCAAGATTCTAATTAGATGACAGCAGCCATACTCTGGCATTAAATCTGTTTTCAGGTATTTACTGAGGCACACAAGCACTTAAACACCTCAGAGTTGTCTTCATAGTTCAGAGTTTATTTGTTTTTAATCATGCAGCAGAACTGCAAAATTACACAGAAGATACAGTGGCACCCACCAGTGGCATTTCAGTAACACGTTTAATAAAATAAAAATAATCCCCAAACAAAAAACCTTGTCAGTAGTTTAGAATAACAACTAGTCTCTTACGAATTGAGTGCAAACAATAAAAAAAGCATACAGCATAACTTACACAAGAATAGTTGAGGAAGGAATGACTGTCCCCGTGTGTTTTCCCACCCCAAAACAGGAACCTTATCATAACCTCACTCCTATGCTGAGACAAACTCCCTCATCTGCCCATCTTCTCTCCTCAAAGACCAAATCCCAAGCTGATTAGTTTAAGCAATGTCTGTACCACACTGGCATCTGCCCCCATTAAGAAGCCTCTTAAGCTGCAAATCTTGTGGCAAAAAGGAATTTTGAAGGCATAAGATGAAAAATATTTTTCTTGCGTTGGAATGGCAATAAGCTTTCTTACTGTGGTACGAAGTCCTTTGCGTTGGCAATCTAACTCATTATTGCACAAAGCTGTTGATGCTTCATCACAATTGCAGTCTTTACAAGCAATGATCCATACATAGCATTCCATGTTGCCAAAGAATTGTAGTAAGTAGGTAAAATAAAAGCTAACATTATGGAATAACTATTCTACTTTTGTAACATCTCTTTAATAGAGAAGAATAGTGTGTTACCTGAGTGTAATATTTGTGGTAGCTAATATAAAATTAATTTTGCTCTAATATCACCTGAACTGCTTCCTATTATACACCTATCTCAAATTACCCATTTCCCTCCTATGGAAAATTTAGACAATTATTCCAGGGAAGAAGATATTCTATTTATTTTTAATGACAAATCTGAAGTCTTAGTATATATTATTTTTATGAAGTTTTTTGCATGAACATGTCATGGAAGGTCATCAGCTGCAGTACACTGTCACTACTCTACCAAAGTCAGTTGCTTTCTATCTTCAGATGCTCTAAGTCACTTTGCATTCAATACTATCTCTTACCCTCAGTTTCATAACCACCACACAAGTGCTGTATAGAAAAACCACAGTAGTTCCTGAACGTCCTTGATTTTGTGGATTTAAGCCAAAAAGTTGATGATACTTTGATACGCTTTTATCAGTTACCTGGGATGAAGTGAAACCAGACATGTGGAAGGCTGAAAAGACAAGTGGCAACTCAGCTTTTAGCAACATTTCGATGTGGTGAGCGCTGCAAAAATAGACTGGATGGATGCCAGATTCCACTGTGGTAATAGGCAGGTGCATCTGATTAACAACAACAACAACCTCATCAACAACAACAAAATTAAGGAAAATGATTACAGACTACAAAAATGTGTTATTTTATAATAGCTTGCTGAGAACAATATATAAAAATATACACTTTTGCTTCTAAGATAAGTCATCCCAGTTATTTTAGAGACAGGAAATAGAATAAATAAAAAAGCTGGTGCTACCATCAGGAAAAAAGTGTAGTTAAACTAAAGAAAATTAAAAGTTAGAAACTGTTATTAATATATCCCGACTATTCCTTTGCATTAGCAATCTAGTTCTTTATTGCATGTAAGCTTTAATCGTCAAAGTAGGGATGGAGAAACCACTGCTACATTTTAAACAAAAGAACAGGAGAAATAAAAAAGACTACTTTCTGTTGGATTTTTTTCCCCTTTTACCGGTGGATAGAGCGGAACTTCTATAGTATTTGAAGTTGTTTTCTGTGTGCATGTTTCTTTGCAGTATGCGTGGCTGGTATGAGTGAAATTCTACTTTGTGCAGCAAAAGGTTTTATCAGTATGGAAAGCCCTGGATGTCAGTGCTTGGGTTCTAGCTAATGAATCTTTTTTGTGCTAGAAGGTCAAGGTACATCTTTGGAATTTTCCTCCTTCCTGAGGTAGGCAGCATCACAATCCAATACCTGGATAATTACTCATTCGTGTTTTGACCTTTTATTTTAGTTTACATTGTGGAAGTTATGCAAATAGGCTAACTGTTGAATTTTCTCTTTGTGTTTTCAAGATATATTATGAAACAGAAATCACTTCAGTGCTGAGAATGAACATTAGCACCGTAGCAACCTGCCTGTGATGCTGACTACTCGTTGTATGGAAGATGACTCTTAAGTTCTCAGCACTGATGGTGTTCACAATTATATTCACACAATGGAGCAACATTTCATCGTGCTGGAACAACCTCAGGGCTGGACTCAGTGCTGTCAGTGTCACCACTTCTGGTGACAAGACAGACCAATTCATATTAATACAGAGGCTTGCATGCAGAACCAAGTATGGAATCTAATCCATGCTTCTTATACCCCAGAGATCTCTAGTACAGACTACAGTTATTTATATTCAAAAGATTCAAAACAACGTGACAAAGTAAAAAGTCAGACTCAAAGGGGTTTATTTTAAATAGATGGAATCCCATCTAATAAAGGTGGAAATGAAGTCTCTTATACTACAAACTTGATCCACAACACTAAACATTTAAAACTGCCAAGCATTCAGTATTTACATATTTAGTAAATTTTAAAACTGATAGTTTTACTAAAAAAAAAAAAATGAAATAAAATGCACTTCCACACTGTAATAGTGAAAAAAAAAAAAGTCATTCAACAGTATCACAGCCTTCACACAGAATTAATGCTACTAACAAAGTTTATTTTACTGCCAGCTTTAAAAAATAATAACATTGCCTTTACTATCAGTCCACCTGTTATTTCACTACTTTTAAACATCCATTCGAGCAACTGTCAAATCTATATTTTTCTGAGAAAATTTTTCAGGATCACGTATTCAGTTAGAGGGCTTTAATGAAAACTTAATGCATCTAAAAAACCCACCCAAAACTAAGGAAATGGATAAAGTCTCCTTTAGAAACTTTCAAAGTTGCCTTTCAGAAAGAAATAGCTTTTAAATTCTTACAGATATATGCAGTCTTGGTAGCCAGAGAAATGCTGAAACAAGAAGCCGTGAAAATCGCTGAAGAAATGTCAGTGTCTTCTCCGCGTCCCCTGACATTATGAGGAAGACGGAAGACGCAAACCAGTCGTATCCAGCATAGCGCTCCTGCAAGCAGCCTGCGTGAGAAGGTTAAGGAACTTGGGCAGAGATCTCCTCCTCCCTGCCTGGTGGGAACTGCAGCCCTCCTCCTCCTCAGGCCCACGCACACAGAGGCAAGAGCCGATTTGTTAGAGATGGGACAAGGGGAATATAGCTGCACAGAGGGTAGTTTCTTGAGGCACAGCTGCTTCTCAAACTGATTTAAGAGAAACCATTTAAGCTTTTTTTCCCCTACACGCTACTTTTTTTCCAGTCCGTAAGTAGTCATGCCAAATTAACCAAAGCAAACAAAAATCAAGTAAATGCAAAAAACCCTGCAGCAAAACAAGTGCGACTATAGGACAAGAAAGGAGAACGGTGGAGGAAGAACACAGAAGCCATAAAGATTATGGAAAAAAAAAAAAAACAAACACAAAGTAAAAGAAAAGCTGAAAAAAAAAAGTGATTAAGCATATCCTGATTAATATACCTGAAGTGTTTTTCAATAGTGATATATAAGCACAATACCTGAAGAATATTGCAAAGCTTGTTGGAAAGCAGTATCTGTTTTATTTTAAAAAAAAGTTCCACAGTAGATCTAAAAGAGTCAGAAGTCAAAACATTCCTGTTGGTCAAATTACAGCCACATATGACCACATGGGCAATACCATTAACAATGTTGGTATTTTGGCAGTACCAAAAATACTCATTAATGCTGAAAGTGGCATTGCTCCAGACTCTCTATCACATACAGAAAGATGCGATCCTACTCCAAAACGGTTTATGACAGAAATGAATGAGACTTACAATTTTAGCAAAGTATGGGAACAAATGGGTGAAGGTTTTCTTGAGTGCACTGGGTGTACATTTTAACTTGACAAAATATCAAAATAAAAGTGCCCCCCCCCTTTTTTTTTTCAGTACATATTACACATCTACACCACCATCAAAAGCCCAAAACAAGAATTCAAATTCCACTGGCATTTTTAGGCAATATAGTTTATGCCATCATTAAAGGATACGAAGTGGTGATACCACAGTTCTTTGCTGTTGTTTCAGAAATTTCTCACAATTCATTAACACAAAGCACAGTCCATTCTCAGCATGTTCCTTTAGCAAGTTTAGATATTTTCCATATCTAGCACAAAAAGTTAAAGACCAAAACTGTTTAAAGGTTAAGCATTTTTTTTTTAATTCCTAGATCGCAAGAACTTATATTTAATAGGCCTGTGAAAGTTAAGCTGTCATAGTGTTCATCAACTATGAACGACACTGTTGTAGATATACACATAAATGGTTTAATAAAACCTATTATGCTTTATCGAGGAAGGATGCACACCAAACATTTGCTACTCAGTGCTACAATTCCTCAGCTAAATTTCTTTTAGTTAAGTTTCAGAGACTGTGGTGGGGAAGAGCAAGTACTCTAACACACGACTCATTTTCTTCACGTAGATTATTTAGAATTCCATCTAAGTATATTTTACGTGTAATTATTAGCATCAGAATTCAAATATTAATACTAAAGATAACAGTCTGTGGAAGTACAGACACATTAGCTTTTCCTTCATCACGGCTCTGCAAATTACCAGCCAAATAAAATGTTTAAATGGCACATAACTAAGCTTAGCTAAACAGAACCATTTAGAGAAGTAATGTGAGGAAAAAAAGACACATAACTCAGGATAATGTCATTTTACGGTAAATCTTACTAACAAGTTACAATTAGGCCTTACAACAATAAAGGATAATAACCTATATAATCTATAAAGATAATTTAATTATGTACTAATACCTTTTTCATTTTCAAAGTTAGAATTCATCTTCTTAAATATGATTTTTAGATTTAAATGGCATAAAGCACTGAATTTATGGATTAAATATCATTAAAGTTATTCCATGAAAATCAAACAAATTCTAGAGATACACTAGGGAAATACTTTAATACTATGTACCTGACAGTCATTTCAATACCAAGTTGTTGCACAGATGAAAGGCTTTCATTCTTCACATCTGCATCCGTGGCGAAAACAAAAGGAAAAATATTATAAAGAATTATGATAAATATGGTTTTAACTGAGTCCTAATATAAAGCTTATTTTATGTATGAACACCAGTTTTGAAGAAATGTTTCTTATTTGAAATAAGTTTAACAGTGTTTGCAAAGAATGCACGAAGAACCTGAATTCCTCATACACTTTTGGTTTTTTAATTAAAATCACTTTCTTTATAAGAAAACTTTCATTTTTAGTATGGTTATAATTAGCTTTACAGCACAATGAAAACAAACACCTTTTTCAGACCCATTTCTTAGTAGAGCTTTATCCCTTCTGGCCCAGAAATGAGACAAAACAGCGTTTTCTGATCTACTTTCTTCCATTCCAGTGGCCTCAAAGTCTCCTAGCTGTAAACCCAACCTTATTAACAAAAAAATCTATTTTGATATGAACATCAGAAAATATTATAACTGATGGATTTAAAAAATCCTGTATTTCTATGCACTGTTCTTTCACACAGTAATATGTACCCCATTTTCTGCATTTGTTTAAATTAAAAATCCAAGTTAGACAAATTAATAAATCATGAATTAAAGCAACCTCTGTTGTAATATTTTCTCAAAATTTTAAAATCTAAGATGAATTAAAAATGGGGCATTTTTTCTCTCGTGTACATATATCATCTAAAATAACTCTACCTCAGAAAACTACAGTCCATTAATATTGTGAGTTACACTGATGAGGGTTTAAAACTTTCACATACTTCTTTCAGACAAAGTGCTAATTAAAAATAACCAACACAGAAAACAGTTAAACAAATAAAAAACCTTAACAACCAACATACTTTGTGAAAAATGGCAGCAGATGTTAAAATACATTCATGTAAGTGATAATTGTAAAAATCTGATAAAGCAGATGACACGATAACTTGATATGTGTATTTTCTATACCCTTCTCAGACAGACAGAGAAATCAAAACTGAAGGATTCCCTAGCTACCCATTTAGGTAAGTACTCGATGTCACTGGTAAGCAAACAAGGACTAAGGTATGAAAGATTAAATATTTACTGGGTAAGGGAAGAAATGCCTCTGGTTAGGAACAAAATTTAAAGAAAAAAAAATTAAGAAGCACTCTGCTCAGATGAGACGAAGTAGGTTGAAATTTTCTTGACAAAAACAATACAGCAAAATTACACTTGAAAATAAAGCAATAAAATTCAGCAGAGGAAGTATGGTAAGAAAAAAACCCCACTCTGTATTATAACTTTAATAGAGGACAATGATCTAAGTGTTAGGGTCATGAGAAATTAATCTTGTACTTTTGACAAACACATTTATACAAAAGAAAAATCAACTGGTCTTTGAACAAAACAAATTTACTCAACAATCTGATGGGATTGAAACAGCAGCCCCAGATTAGAGAATTTTTTTTAACCGAAGAACAGAAGTTCAAATATATTTTGCACAGTACACAGCAACACAATATTTGGAAGAATACGTATAAAATCACAAGGCACTTCCTTTAGAAACCCACAGAGATGAGTGAAATAGCTCATATCTTTTCACAGCTCCTGTTCCAAGTTAGCTTAGTCAAGTTGCAATTACCGTACCAACAGTCAATTAATTTTCAGGTTCCTGTTTGCAATTGTGAAGGCAAGAGGCATACTTATATCCTAGAAACCACGATGGAAGACAAAACAGGGGGCGTCTGAATGAGTTGGCTACGATTAATGGCTAATTTAGTCCTGGCATAACCATATTTAATGACAGGGGAGAGGCAGGCAGTATCACAACCTCTAAGCCACAAGGAAGCCCTGCCTCCATTTTGAGGTGCATCCTCCTACGGATGGCAGCACAGGAGCTGGTACCCCAGTCCAGCAAGGGTGTCATGAAGAACAGCTGTATCACAACCCACAATCTGAGCTCAGTTTCCATTGCGTAACAGTTTACAGCAAGTACTGAATACTTATTTCCCATTAATGTTAAAAGAACACAACTGATTTCATTGATTCTCATTGCCTTTTCTTCTCTGTTGTAATAATTTCTTAGCTACTGAAAAGGGTTTTCTCCTTATCAGTTTTTCCTTTTGATATTTTCCCCTGTATTGTGAAAGAAGATAACATAGAGTTTGGATTGAATAATAATTCTATATTGCGTAGTACCTCATCAAGACAAAAAACTTGCTTTTGTACACCAGTGTATTTGATATAATCATAGCTCTGTACACTATGCAGTCAAGTTGCTGCCAATCCACAACTCACAATGGGAACAGACAAACTGTGGTTCTTTTTCCTGGGTCAAAAGTTTTGATTTTCCATTTTGTTTACCAATTAATAGACTGGGAAGATCAGGCTTTAGAAAACTATGAAGTCATTTAGAATACACAAAGGACCACTTCCCACTGATTAAAAACTGGACCTAAAAACCTTAAACGCTCCATTAAGCTTTGAAAATTGTTATTAACAATAAGTGGAATACTGAAATACTGCATATTGCAATCCACACATAAAAAGTTGACCAGTAAGCTTGCAAGAGTATGTTGTGACTGTAGTATTGTAACGATGCTCATGATATCTCTGATTTAATACACTGAACTGAATTTTCTACAAAACTAATTTGACAGATATTTATCAATACACCTGATATAAGTAACTGTCTTGAAACACAATGGGCTTCATAACAAAAGTCATTGACAGATCAATTTTCTAAATCAGAATGCCATTTATCCTCAAACAAAGGACAGAACACCTCTCTGAACTGTGAATTAGGTAACAGCATGATACCGCACTGTGGCTATTATTAAATGGAAAAAACAACATGCTTTGGAAACTTCCTTTCTATTTATCCAACAACACAAAAATTCTATGTTAAACAAGTATTTTACACTTCTTTCTTTAAAAATATAAAAGACTGTAAAATAGAAATTAAGCCAAAATGAAATTAGTGACTTGAAGGATATCAGAATTTACTAGGAGATGATTTACAATTAAAAAAAAAATTATAGAAAGTTGACTTTATCTCTCATTCTAAAATGCATAAAAAAACCCACAGCAGTAAATATGAACCATTTTTAAGTGTAAATGATACTTTCTTTTTTTTTTTAAGCCATGCTCTTTATATTAGCAACCTACCATACATAGTTCAGATAAGCTAATCATAAGAAACATTGGTATGCCTGCTCTCAAATCTTTTTTTAAATTCACTATTTAATACAACCTTGTTCATTCAAAAGACAAAATGCTCAGGAAAAGGCTGAGGTACTTGATGCCCTCTTTGCCTTAGTCTTTCGTAGTAACACCCATTGTTCTTGGGGTACCCATCTCCCTGAGCTGGAAGACAGGGATGAGGAGCAGAATGAAGCCCCATAATCCAAAGGGAAATGGTTAGCGACCTGCTCCAGCACTTAGACACACAAAAGTCTATGGGGCCAGACAGGATCCACCTGAGGTACTGAGGTAGCTGGCAGAAGTGCTCCATTATTTATCAGCAGTCCTGGCTAACCAGGGAGGTCCCAGTTGACTGGAGGTTAGCAAATGTGATGCCCATCTACAAGAAGGGTTGGAAGGAGGACCCAGGGAACTACAGGCCTGTCAGTCTGACTTTGGTGCTGGGGAAGGACATGGAACAGATCATCTTGAGTGCCATCGCGTGGCACATACAGGACAACCAGGTGATGAGGCCAAGTCCGCATGGGTTCATCAAAGGCAGGTCCCGCTTGACAAACCTTGTCTCCTTCTACGGCAAGGTGACCCTCTTAGCGGATGAGGGAAAGGCTGTGGATGTTGTCAACCCAGACTTTAGTAAAGCCTTTGACACCATCTCCCACAGCATTCTCCTGGAGAAACTGGCTGCTCATGGCTTGGATGGCTGTACTCTTCACTGGGTAAAAAACTAACTGGCTGGTCAGGATCAAATAGTTGTGGTGAATGGAGTTAAATCCAGTTAGCGGCCGGTCACAAGTGGTATTCCCCAGGGTTAAGAACTGGGGCCTGTTCTCTTTACTACCTTTATCAAGCCCTGGACGACGGGATTGAGTGCACCCTCAGTTAAGTTTGCAGATGACACCAAGCTGGGCAGGAGTGTTGATCTGCTTGAGGGTAGGAAGGCTCTGCAGAGGGATCTGGACAGGCTGGACTGATGGGCCAAGGCCAGTGGTACGAGGTTCAACGAGGCCAAGTGCCTTGGGTCACAATGCCTGGGTCACAACAACCCCATGCAGCGCTACAGGCTTGGGGAAGAATGGCTCGAAAGCTGCCCTGCAGAAAAGGACCTGGGGGCATTGGCTGACAGTCAGCTGAGTATGAGCCAGCAGTGTGCCCAGGTGGCCAAGAACGCCAATAGCAGCCTGGCTTGTGTCAGAAATAGTGTGGTCAGCAGGACTAGGAAAACAATCATCCCCCTGTACTCGGCACTGGTGAGGCCACAGCTCAAATACTGTGTTCAGTTTTGGGCCCCTCACTACAAGAAAGACATTGAGGTGTTGGAGCATGTCCGGAGCAGAGCAACAAAGCTGGTGAAGGGTCTCAAGCAGCTCTTATGAGGAGCAGCTGAGGGAACTGGTGTTGTTTAGTCCGGAGAAAAGGAGGCTGAGTGGAGACCTTATTGATCCCTACAACTACCCACAAGGAGGTTGTAACAAGGTAGGGGTCGGTCTTTTCTCCCACATAACAAGCGATAAGACAAGAGCAAACAGCCTCAAGTTGTGCCAGGGGAGGTTTAGATTGGATATCAGGAAAAACTTCTTCCCCGAAAGGGTTGTCAAGCATTGGAACAGGCTGCCCAGGGACATGGTTGAGTCACGATCCCTGGAGGTATTTAAAAGACATGTGGATGCGGTGCTTAGGGACATGGTTTAGTGGTGGATGTGGCAGTGTTAGGTTAACGGTTGACTCTATGATTGTAGAGGTCCTTCCCAACAGAAATGATTCCATTCTATTCTATTCTATCTAGTCTTCATCTTTAAAGAGAAGCTATCTTGTGCATCTTGGATAGTTCCAGATACAAATCAGATGATCCTGGGGAGAGGTGGG